ACATGCATCAAATGCATAAGACAGCCACAACGTAACACACCAAAAAAAAAAAAAAGCCCAACCAACCCAGCCCCACAACACACCATTATCATCCATTACTATGGTCCCAACAAAAATTTTGTCCCCCCATGCCAATCACTTGTCAACAAGTTAGCCGACACACACACAAAACCCACACAAGCCATACACCTCCTCAATACATCCCCTTACCCTACAACCAAATACAGCCTACCCTACAACATCAACAACACCAATCCAAACCAATACAAAAAACAACATCACAATACACATAATAAATCAACGACACAGATAACTCCAAATGTAAAATCGCAAAACAAAGCGACTGAAACATGGTAATCAGAAGGAATAAGCAAACACTCACGATCCACATTGTCACACAATGCACACAGCATCAAGTTATGTGACATACCCTTTTCGGCCATAACTATACACCCACAACCAAGGACGGTGGAATATGAATACTAGGGTTTCGTTGTCGTCCATGATCTGCCCTGTCACAAATACGTTTGCCCAAACAATCACAACAACAGTGAAAATTGCCCACTCAATCTTTATTATTCACCCCCCAAATCACGCAACGGTATATACGGTCAATCACGATTTTCAAATTGAAGGAATTCCCAAAAACAAGGGTTTCCTAGGTTACGTTTCCAGTGCAGTGTGTGGGGGGATGTGGATGTACAAATCGGGTTATGTTTCAATAGGTATGGGTTTTCAAGATGTGTGTTACGTGGCAATCAAAAACCACACCAGTCTTCTACAAAAACCCTTAGTGAACTTTTTCGGTGTGTGACACTCAATTATGTGGCACGTGACCCACCGCATGTCATTTTACCTCATCTGTGCCACATGCGCCTACGATTGTACAGCTAACATTACACACTAACTGATGGTAATTGCGTCCTTTCACAACAGATAGGACTAAACAGAGCTGTAGAAAACATATGGGATTAATTGGATTACAAGATCAACATTTAGGATTTATTAGTAAATTTTCCATATTTATTTATAGCAAATTAGATAAATTACATTTTAATCCATAATAAAAATAATAATTCTTTATACTTTTTTAATATTTTTATCAAAAAATGTTACGGATTCCATAAATTTTAACATGATATACATACGAATTACAATTGTATTTTGATCACCATGTTTGTTTCCAATTTTTTGAAAACACTTTTTAAAAAATTCTACTTTCTTATTTTCAGTATTTTTTTTGTTTTTACTGAATTTTTTAAAATATTTTAAGTATTTTTTAAAATTTTTAGACACACCTAACATAAATACATTTAAAAATATAATTTTCGTGAAAAAAATCTATACAAAATTCACTAAATACCAAAAATACAAAAAAATCAATATATTTTTCGCATTTTTTGTGTATTTATTAATTTTTTAAAATGTTTTTTCACAAATATTTTAATTTTTAGATACATCTAAGTAAGGTGCATCTAAAAAAGTAAAAAAATTACTTAAAATTTTAAAATATTCACTAAAAATAAAAAAACTCAAAAAATAAAAAAACTCAATTTTTAAAAAATTAAATTCAAAAAATTGAAACTAAACACACTAAAGTATTTACACCGTGCCTTTATTTTATGCGCGTGTGGTTCTTGGGTGCAAAGTGTGTTTTGTTGCCATCTCACTCTCTGGGGTGCAAAATGTATTTTTTACTATACAATTTTATCATAAATTTGTAAATATTAATTTTCAAATTCTTAAGTGTAAATTTTATAACATTACTCTAAATTTTATAATTTTTAAGTGGATTTAGATTGAATCGATCTTAAAAGTAGAAAATGTTTATTAAAATATTTAAAAAGGTTATTAAAAATAATAAAATACAAACTTAAAATTTAAAAAATTATTTTTGAAAACTCTAAAATTAAATAAGTTTTGAATTTCAAATTTGTAAAAAATATTTTTAAAATATACAACCAAAATCTAAACCAAACGGACCATCTATTTATATTTTGATCTCAATTTTATTTTATTTTTATGACAAATTAGATAAATTACATTTTAACTCTTAACAAAAATAATATTTATTTATATTTTTTTAATATTTTTATCAAAAAATGTTACAGGCTCCATAAATTTTAACATGATACATATAAATTATAATTGTATTTGATCCCAACAGTATTTATATCGTGTCTTTAAGCACGAACATACACTTCTATACTTACATTTTACATAATTTCACACACCTTTTCATTTTTCTTTTGCAAATCTATTTTTTTCCAAATCTCCTAACCAAATAAACTGTTAAGGGTATTTTTATCATATTTTAGCAAGAAAAGTTGAGATTGAAGGAAGTTTCACAAAAATTTTCAAAAATTAAATTGATTACTTACATGGATTCCAATAGTTTTTAATAGACTACTTAAGAAACTTTCTGAGCCTAAACACTGAATAATATTCAAATAATTACATAAGCATAAGCTTATTTGGTACCACTTATAAATTGAAAGTTGATAATCATAAAACAAAAATTAATAATATTTTACCCTTGTTCTTTCAATAATTAACTCTTTTCAATTTATTTAAGCAATATTATATCACATAAACTGTATGAGCTAGGCCAAACGCTGCCACATTTTCAAGAAGAAAAAATATTTATAAACTGTCTCCATAACTATTTTCAACTTATTAATTTCACATATTCTTTCTGGTAATTTTTTTTTTTTTTATTCACAATTTGCTTTTTGTGGCATTATCATTGATAGATCAAGCATTGTTGTACATATTTAATTATGCTAACCATTTAAAGAATTTTATATTATAATGCATATCAAACAGTCCCTTACACCGAACATGGTGTTCACTTCATATAATAATATAGATATACATCCAAACAAATACTTGCTACCACATAATTTTTTGAATTTTCAAATGAGTAAAAGGAGCCAAAATAAAATATCTTTCTCTAAATCAATTGACAAACTCTATGCCAGTAAAAGGAGTCCCGGCATGAAGCTGAAGGGCTACATCGCCAACCACCTGTTATTTTCAAAGGCAAAAAGGCCACGATCAACACAGGAATTCATCAACATTGTAACAAAAAAACGCATCTGCTTATTAAAGACACTAACTTGACACAGCCCTTAGGAAGTTGTTTCTATATTCATAGAATTCAAAGCCATCATCCATGGGTATTTTTCAAAGGCTTGCAACTTTGAAGTAAATATTCACCAACAGTACTGCTCTATAAAGGAATTGATTCAACTATCAATAGCAAAGCCTGTTCACCATAAATTTCTACCATTTAATTAAACAGAGCTTTCAAGATCCAATTACTTATGGAGCAGCCCATCAGTTGACTAAATTCATAAATACTCAGTGCACAGGATGATTAAAAAGACCAAGCCATCCATCTCCAAAGTTTTTTTATTCTTCTAGTAGCTATTTACCTATAAATAAGTGTATTTGCATTGAAGTAAGGGAACAAGGTCTGGCCTCAGATTAACAGCAAGCTCCCACCCCATATATAAACAAACACAAAGGGTTATGTCAATGGGTTCTTCCCGTTAAAAGCTCACGTTGCAAGGCACCGACATTTTGATAAAGATTCAAGCAATCAATCTGACAGATATCAAGTCTATGATTGGAATAACCTTGGTGATCTTGTGAATGTGAGAAATCACTGGGAGGTATCATACTCATAAGATTGCCCAGAGCATGTATGATGGTTCATATGAGGGCATTATGAAGGCCTCCGAATCTTATATCTAGAAATTGACAGAATCCTTGTTCTCCTTATAGGCATTCTGTCCACAACTAATGACAATTACACTAACTTTGAGGTAACTTACATTCAATTGTTATGCAGTCATCTGGTTAAGCATCTGCCCCCTAATGTGAGTATTAACCAAGGTAAAACTCACATTATTGAATCAAAGCGGTCATCTGTTTAGCTCGCCTAAACTTAACATGTGAGGCTAACTTTCGTTACCACTATATGCCATCAGGGTTTTTTGTCGATGTAGTTCAATCTATTATTGATGAACCATTCTTTCCTTTCACCATCATCATCATTGTAATTATAATTATTGTTCTTTCTGTCCTTCTCTTTCATTATCATACTTGTAACAATGTCTAACATGGGGCTTAATCTAGATAATACTAAAATTGACAATAATCTAGCAGTTTTAGTGAGGTTCATAACTTAGCCGTGGATCTATAAGAATGTTCTGTGACACCTGCAACATGCGGTGTTATTAGGACATTTGAGAGTTTCAAAATTGGATCATCAGGATCAAATGGCTCTGTCCAAGCAACATCCATGCCTAAACCTCCCAAGTGGCCAGATTTAAGGTGATAATGAACGAGCAAGGATCCTCTACAGTGGTTTTTTCCTAAAGTTTCCTAAAGTGTTACATTGTGTGGTTGAGATTTATTGGCAAGTCACATCAGAAAAATTGATGTGACTTGCCAGTAAATCTCAACCACACAATGTAGCACTCTAGGAAACTTTAGGAAAATTTCACTCTAGAGGATCCTTGGTGATAATGAACAGCTTCATAGTCCAAGAGACCCCCTCGTGCTATATTCACCAAAAGGCCTCCCTGAAATACAAACCAAACAACAAACACGCAAAGACGCAAACCATTGGCACCAAGAGTAAGGGCAAACCAATAAGGATAGGGACACATGTCCACTGAGTTGTTTCTATGAGAGGGGGGCATGTGTCATAGGCTTCTTTCCAATTATCTCCTCAAACAATTCCCTACTAAGCTAAAGGTGTTGACTTGTGGGAATGACGAGGGCCTTGCAACAGAAACCCCTAAATAGCACTCCCTCATGACCCAACAAGCCACAACCTCCATGGAGTCCCCCAGGCAATGTGTGCAGCAAGTGGCTACCAACAGCAATTAAGTAGATTCATCAATGTTATAGCAACCAAATCATACTAAAGAATAGTCCAGTTCTCATAAAGTGTATCAATGTAAATTGTGAGAATTAAGTAGATTCATCACTGAAAAAAAAAAAAAATATATCATTACGCTTCTGAGATGTCATTATCAGATTGGGAACAAACCTTTTTCATTGATGATATAAATGTTTTGTTTACGATGCCAGCCTAAAAGCAAATGTATCAAAAGAATGTGAGCATATAGCAGATAACGCACTTCACTCCCAGAAGAAGCGCATGTATGGAAATGAGAGGAGCCTAACCGTTTCACTGTTCATCGACAAGCAACAAACAACTATGTCAGCATTGCTTGCAAAAGTATGGATATCTTCATGACCGCCCTTCTCGTCAACCAAATCGTCATTCATACCAATTTGAGTGGGTGATGCTGAAGACATACCATCAAAAATAATAAATGAAACCTTACATATCATTCAGCTATATTATTTTAGTTTTTTTTTTTTTTTTTGACAAATTTATTATTTTAGTTTATAAGCCCTTACGTACCATTGGACTTGCATGAATTTTGCAAATACGAGTCCCAATTCCGTTTTGTAGCAAGGATTTTCACACCAAATGGGCGCAAGCGTTTTGCCAACTGAATCCCAATGTTTCCAAATCCCATAATGAACACCTGCATGAGTGAGAAGAATAATCAAGTTTTGTGCTAAATTCAGTAGAGCAACAACAATCATTTTGCTCATCAGCGAGGCAAGTGTGTTCAGTCCTCTTGCTTAGAACTGCACTAGTAGAAAATTGCTTTAAACTCTGTCACAGAACATCCATAATGGATCAAATTCCTATATTAGAGAACCCCTTCTCTCGAAAAATGTTACTTGAAACCCTTCCACGAGGCAGAAGTCAATGTTAATGGTAGACATGAAATTTTACGCCTTGTGTTTTGCTTCCTTGTGTGGTTAAATTCCAGCCCATATGCATAAATAAGCAAAAGCAAACCTAAAACACACTTCCATATCTATGATTCTATGAACACATCAAAATGCTTATATTTTTTAACCACTCAAAATCTCATATTAATAGCTAAGGGAGCAATCAAGATTCAACTATCTACTATATTTGCATCCATTAGCCGTTCAGACACTGGATTAAATTAAATTAATATAGTAAACCATCAATATGCATAGAACATAATTTGCTAGAAATCACATTAATGTCAATAGTAAATGGAAGGCTACATCAAAGCATGCACACATGCAAGTCTAGATGTGGTAGCAAGCAAATAATAATCATGATCATATTCAGAACCATCTCACTTGATTCCTATATGAGCAACTCACACTCCAGGCATCACTATTTTTTGGATCACAACTGATATGATTAGCGCGGCGTCCAAAACAGTTTTCACTGTTTGCTCTTGGACCAACTTCTACATGGTTTCATGTATACCAGATAACATAAAGGAGGTGGAACCATCCTGGTTGACTCGTTGAAATACAAAAACAACCCTGCAAGCATCCTTGCCAAGTAAATTTAAGCAAGACAGCTATACTTCGTTTGCATAGGCAGAACAGATCATATTACATCATTCAGCTACTCTAACACAAATGGCTTTGAATTCATATGTTTCACCATCCTTACAGGGCTATTAAATTTTTCCATTTATCAAATTATACCATTCAAACTTATTTTAAAATATCAGGTTAAGTATATGCAATGATATTAAATCATTTGTTTGAAGCATTTGTTCAACATGAAGTTATTCTAGGATATTAAAAAAAGAAAACAATGGAAAGAAAAAAAGAAAACAAAACACAAAATGCACGAATGCATTTGTAGGAAAACTTGTAGAAAAAAAACCAAGATAATTGAAACTCACTTTTTTTCCTAGCAGTGTTTCGCCAACTGGCTCTCCAAGCACCTTCTGCTTTACAGCAATGTGCATCTCATTCTGCAGTAATAACAAAAAACCAATTCACGTAAACATGACTTAAATTTCATACACAAATATGTGTTATATATATGACATAACCACATATACAAAGAACAATGTCTTGAAAAAGAAATGGTGTAATGCCTGTCCATATAATCCTAAGATCCCAAACATCCAGTATTTCAAAAGAGTCCCAAAAAATATAAAATAAAAATAAAATGCATATTGAATGTGCACTACCACAATAAGACCTAAATCTAAAAGCAAAGTTGAAATATTGTCAATAAACAACGAAAGTCGGGAGATATGGAGAAAACCGAGCCACGTGTATGGATTCTTAAGGTATCTCAACAATAATGACAAATAAAAGACAAAAGTGCTCAGATTAATCAGCTTAATAACAAAATGTGCTCAAAATGATGTCAAATGCTCAAGCAATAGTGAATTTCTGCATGCAACCAATTCATATGTAAATAGGAGAAACACCCTGTGAAAAACACCAAGTGCGAGCACATTATTTACATACTTCTAACACTAAATAGTGGGAATTTGTCTAGAGTGGATAAGGCTATCAAGAGGGAATAGAAAGATAGAAAATAAAGTAAGTAAAATAGAAGGGTTATATGCCAAAATGACCCAACAATGCAGCAAATTTGAACCCCTCAAAAACAATGTCATGTACCTTTGGGGATTAATGAATTTAAGCTTTGTAGTGAAGGCGAGGTAGAAAGAATAAAGTAATTACGAGGCACACAGTCGTCGATGAAAATAATATACAGTAATAGATAAGAGAGTAAATCTAATCAACAGTTTTATAAGTTAAAAGACTAGTAATATATCACTCACCTGTATTGTGATACTGATAAAATACATCACTTTTTATTTGTGAGGTTATTAAAAAATGATCTTGCAAGGTAATGAAAATTAATAAATAAACATGAAAATAAATAACTAAACTCTTAGAAAGGAGCTAAATCATAATTCTGGTTAAGCTCTTATCAACACAGTGAAATTTATCAAGGTTTGAGAAAATTATGGAAGAAAAAAGTAAAAAACAAAGGACTTTCCAATATAGTGGTACTAGGCTAAGACTTTTCATCAATTGAACTTCAACACATAAATTTCACATAGGAAAAAGGAGAAAATCAGCAACATATCATGGAGAGATAGCACAACATAAATTTATCGTTTTTCTAAATTGCAATTTGGATCAATGTATATAAACCATTTATTTCAGCATTTTCATAATTTAAAATAATTAATTCACCAAAAGTTGTTGAAGCTTCCCAATTTATAAGCTAAAAAAAATGAGAAATGCATATTGATTCTAGATTATTGGACTAAATTTAACTGACTTGCTTACGAAGAAGGCCCAACATTAGATATATGGCCATTTCAGCACATGAAGCTGCATTTCCAGTTACACCACCGAATTCTAGCGACTTGATTCCATGCTTTGTAGCAGCATTGATGTCAACGCCTTCGTGTAAAGATAAATGGAGACCATATGCATATAAGAAATAATGTCTAACAGATATTATGCTTATGGTATTTAACAAAAATAAAGAAAGAACCTTCCAGCCCAACACCATACTGCATTATAAGCTTTGTCCTATTTGCACAAGAGATAACATCTGCATTTAGCTGCATGTTTTTTACAATACAGATATCGTAGTTGCCAATAACAGCAGGCACATCATCAAATGGAACATCATCAACCTACAAAACAGAAGATAGAACTACTGAAGGGATGCACTATAGCATCGATAACCCCTTAAACTGATGTCTATTCCAATTGAAGAACATCAATTTTGAGAAATCAGTGTGAAAGGAAAATTTTCAGTAAGAATTAAGAAATACGAGAGAGTAATACAAGATAAGTCAATTTGGAAAAAATAACAACTATTTTCTTCCAAAGGTGAGACGACACTTTTATATCCAAAGAGGAAATGTACTATAAGTCAATTTGGCAAAACTAATAACTACTACCACTACAAAAACAACCTTTCATGAATTGAGGATAGTCATAACTATTAATCAACGACACAACCATAAATCTCAAAATGGAAAAATAGAGCTGGAAAACTATCCATTTATCAAGGAAAAAAGAAATGAATGAAGAAAGTTAAATACCTTGATAAATGGATAGTTTTGTACATATTCTCTCATATAATTATGAGATGCAGGAAAATGAGGCCCGCAAAAGAGAAGACAGGTGATGCGCTGGTCACTGTCCCCAACCATTTCCTCTAACATCCCTGAAAATCCTGCAATAAAGAACCTCATAATTTAAACAAGATCACTCAAATGACTTTTCAAACAAAGGAAGGTGGTGGATAAGATCTATAGAGGTAATTATATGTAGTTTGAATAAATTATTTATAAGAACTAGCAAATTAATATGTGGCTAGACAAGATAATCCACAGAGAAAAAGACCAAGTCCAATGCTGCGGAACGAAATGAAAAACATAAGAATGTAAATTAGGGGTTGTATAATAGCAAATATCGCAAAGAGTTGTCATGACTCATTATTGACACAACAACAAAATGCATGTATGGCAAATGAGGAAAATGTCTGTCTTAATTATGTCCCGAATCTCAAGAAGAGAAAAGTCTCTCTTTTGTTTCATGGTAATCAAATCAACAACTCTGTCATGGATAAGTAACAATACCATACGACATTCCATGACCACAACATCAAGGGTAAGGGTGTTACTTCCAATAAGGTACATGTTTAATCAATCAATTTCCATAATCTATACCATGCCCCAATAAACTTTATATTTTGAAGCCCTTTAGGTGGATGAAAGAAATAATAACAATAGCAATTACTCATCATACCAAAAAAAAAAAAAAAAAAAAAAGGATGAAAGAAATAATAATACTAGCAATTACTTATCGTACCCAAAAAAAAAGAAAAAAAAAAGAAAAAAAAGAAGTCTTTGCCACTATAATCTTCTAATGGAGTTCGTCTATATAAGGAGGGAGTGCAATGATCATGTCAGAGCACTAAATGTAGCTCCATGGCCTTAGATTTCTCAGCAACAAGGCCCATCCAGTTTGACAAGGACAGAAGTGTGAAGGAGTGTCTTTAATATTGCAGGCCCAACCTTTAAATATTTGGAGCTTCTTGAAATGAGCCATTGGTGCTCTGCTGGCCTTGTAAAACACATGGCGGAACATCATTTCCAATCTGTATGGTGATAAAACTTGAATTACGTATTTTATTTCATTATCATAATTTTAACCCAATGGTAGAAGTGAATAAAAAATTGTCGCCAAGTGCCTCTGTCGTATATACAATATCTATGGCCACGTCAATGGCATTTGAAATTAGAAATTGCAGAGCAGGTAAAACATGAAACCAAGTCAAATGTGAAAGGGATAAAAGGGAAAAAGAAAGGGAAACAACATACAAGTTGAATAGCATAAGTGCCTCTTCTAAATGTAGTGATGTACTTTTATAAACACCTCTTTTTATTGTGTTACTGCATCTTGAGCCTTGGATTGGACTATTAAAATGACAACTGCGAAAGCTAACTCTTGTCAAGCAACAAACAAAAACAGGATGTATATGATGCTCCAAATGTAAACATCTTCGGAAAATGCTGAAAAGCATTTTGGAAGATGCAAACAAAAGAAGTTGCAAAATACAATAATTTTTCGCACACCAACGATTGGAACAAAATATGTGACATTCCAGTATCTCTATTTTGGATATTACATGCATTTCAAAACCTCAAGCTGTGCATGTAATTTTTTTATTCATTTCCGTAGCTTTTCTATAATAATATCCATATCTTGCAATGTATCTTCTTCATCATATTTTCATTCCCTTCAGCTTATTATATATTAAAAAAAAAAAAAAAAAAACATTCGTCTTTATTTTGAAGGATAAATATTAATTACCATTCTTTTAAAATTTTATGCAAAAAATGGTAAAATCTATACCAACACTACTTTAAATCTACAGGAAACAAGTGTAGACTTTTACGCTGTGTTTGGTTAGGGGATTTAGGAAAGGAAATGGAAAGGGAAATGGAAATGAAAGGAAAAGGAGAAAGAATTAATAGAATTCCAAATCCCAACTATGTTTGGTTGTGTTGGTTATAAAATAGAATTGATGTCCTAAAAGGTCTCCTATTTCTTTATTTATTTCTCACCCCCTTTCTTTTCCCATATATTTTTTATTATAACCAAACATAAATAGGATTACATTTCTCATTCCTTTTCCAAATCTCATCCCAAAAACCCCAACCAAACACAGCATTAGAAAATAATTAGCCCTTCAGAGGTAACTACAAATATATAGCATTCTTAATGGCTCCAATAGATTGATACAGTGATTAATTAAATATTCCTAATAACATTTAATAAAATTATTATACTAGATATTTACAATAACAAATTGACACGGCAGCTGTAACTTTATAGCATTTCATTTGGTTAAAAGTCTTTTCATCTAGTCCAGCAATGCCTATTTTCACTTTTCATTAAAACAATTTCATGTGCTACTAGTACTTATAAATATCTTGGTGTTATTTTATCAAGATTCATAATTTAATTCGTCTAATGTTTTAAAACACAGATTCTTGACAATCAGCAGGATAATCATTGGATCAACCCGAATCAAACCATTACATTGCAATCATATCATAATCTCATCGTTAAAAACAATAAATAGAAATCAACCTAGTGCATACCAATCAATGTTCTTAATAAAGCTTGAGGGGATAATATAATTGTTCATAAACTTGTTCTGTTCAACAAAAAAACAGAACACATGCAAACCACAATTGATACTTTTTCTCCTTCAATATTCCTATGACTTGAAATCACAAGTTAACAATGAAAGATCTCATGGGAAATTCGTCAATAAGAACACATATTATTGAAAACCTAAAATCACTAATTCCCAAATTGAAGACAATGCGAATGAGGGTATGTTGTGTAGATGAGATAGGCACAGAGTGAGAGAGATTGAAATTTGAGATGCTAGGAGAGAATGATTACACAAAGAATCAAAGATGACATCTATGCCTTGTTTGGCATCTCTTAAAAAAGTTATAAGTAAAAAAGTCACCTTATTTAATTCAAATCATCTTATTTAAGTTACATTACCTTTTTACTGCAACACTTCAATCTCAATTCATATTTCATAAAAAAATCAAAAAGTACATTTATTTAAAATATTCCAAACAATACCTTAGATTCACAATACAATATATACATATATATATATATATATATATATGTATATTGAAGACGATCTAGAGAAAAAGAGTGATTGAAAGAGAGACTTGAGGACTGAAGGAAGGAATAGGGATAACCTTCTTTAGAATTTCGTATCAGGATCCTCTGAATTGTTGGCCTTGAAGTGATCTCTGAAGTGTGTGGATCCAATGGCTGAGAATGTAACTAACCAAAACGACGTCGTTTTGGTTAGTAATTTAAAAAAAAAATAATAAAAAAAAATAGAGTTGATTCAAAATTCCCAAATCATTCCCTCCAGTAAGCAAAGCTGTGTGGCGGGAATGCAAAAAAGAGAGAAGAAGACAGAGAGAGAAGAGAGGCGGGAGTGTCGTCCAGCCATTGCCACCGTCGCCGCCGTCGCTGAGGTGTGGGAACATTTCATTCATCCCTTTTAACATTGTACAAATCTATACATATATACCCCAATCTCTGCACAATCCCCAAATATGTTTGTAATTTAATCTAAATAATTACTTTTTATTTATAAATTTTTGTCTTAATATTTGACTTTTGATATTTATGAGTGGTGCTACATATATCAAATTGATATATTAATTAATGTACTAACATATGTTATAATATTATCATTTTAAAATTATAAATTTTACCCATTATATAAATTATAAAATTTTAAAATTTTTAAAATTATATCACATCAGTCATTAATGCACTAATTAATTAATGTAATTGAGACGTTTATTGAATATTTTGAGATGTTTATTGAATATTTATATAGGAATGGATTGATATTTTCTATAGTCCAAATAGAATTTCCCAATTTTCTCACCTTGGAAGCACCCTCAACTTGACACTCAAAAATTCTACAGTCCAAATAGAATTTCCCAATTTTCTCACCTAGGAAGCACCCTCAACTTGACACTTGAAAATTCTATGAAGCACCCTCAACTTTACACTTGAAAAGCCACTTGGTGCGCTCTCTCTCTCTCTCTCTTGCCATCTTGATCTTGATCTTGATCTTGATCGTCAACATGTTCTCAAAAATCAAAATCCCAGAATTCGGATTTTGATAATTGCACTGAAGAACCAAGGTCTGATTCTCCTCTTTTCTTCTTCTTGTCTGTTTTTCTTTGATGTCTCTATATCCGTATTCTAATCCAATATCGAATCAAATTCTATCTTATGATCACAATTTTGTTTCACATCCGTTTCAATTAGTCTGTTGTACTTAAATAGAATCACTAGTTGTCGTGGGTGCAAAACGTGATACCTTAATTTTACTTTAGTTTGGGGCGGTTTAGAAAAATGAATTAGAATTTTGTTAATTTGGGTTTTAGCTGAGAATTTCTTACACTCGGTTTGGATGGAGGGGTTTGGTGAGAAAAAGAAAAGCAACGTTGAGAATAGGAAACCCTCACTTGTTTAGATGATTAAATAGGTGAAAAATAATGAGAGATGGTGACAAAAAATTCTTACCAGACCTATGTTTTGTTTCTCATCAATGGTGAGATTTGGTGGGAAAGGAATTTAGTATAATGAAAGTTTTCTAAATTATTGAAATTACCCTTATGAAAAAACTTAACTTGTTAATATGAATTTTGGTTAAATGAAATAGAATGCTTTCTTTTCTTTTCTCTTATTTACGTTATCAAATAAGATACATTTTCTTCTTTTTTATTCATCTAAACATAATGGCGAGAAAGTATAATAATTTCTTTTATTTTCTCATCTAAGTGAGAAATCATAATCATTTCTTTTCTCACATCACCTCACGATCCAAACATAGTGTTAATTTTGGATTAAGAAATGAATGAAATTGGCTAGATATGTGCAAAATAAAAAAAAATAAAAAAAAATGATGCTTTTTTAATGCTTGTTTAATTAAAGGGAAAACGTGTCAATTTGCTAATTTCAATTAGGTTGATTTTGACTATTAATTTTAATTTTGTATTTAATCTAATTAAAAAGGTTGATTAAGGTTTTTGAAGGAAAATGGTAACTGAGTTGGTTGATTTAACTTGTTGAGTTGAACAAGTTTATAATTTTGCTTATAAAAGCACGACAAATGCTTTTAATCAAAAAAAAAAAGCATGATAAATGCTGCTCATGTGCGTATCTACCATTGAAAGACAGTAACCACTATAACAAGTGGACTAAATTGAGACAAAATTATAAATTCATATCAAAATTGAGTAAATTGAAATTACTAATGACCAAAATTACATAAGGGCTAAAATCTAAGGACTGCCGGTGTAATTTACCCTTAGTTGAATTATTGTAGATCAAGCTGTTAGCATGAGTGACATCTCTTGCCATCTCGGATTGGAGGTTCAAGCTTCAAGCTTCCAAATACAACATAGAAAAAAGAAAAAATATATTGTAGATCAACAACAACTCAGACAATTAAAATCCTCAATTTTTTAATTTTATTTTATATTGAAAGCCTAATGTTTCGAATCTTTTTTTTGTCTTTCCTCTAGCATGATAAATTGATATAGATAATGTGCGAACAATTAAAATCCTCAGTTTTTGTTGATATTGTAATACAATTGAAAGCCTGATTTTTCTAATCTTTTTTTCCCCCTCCCTTTAGCATGATAAATTGATATAGATAATGCAAGAAAACTTTAGTCAACTATGTGCATTTTAAATTATGATTTTCCATATAAATATTTGAAGGAAAGTTTAAAAGTGCTCTGATATGGGATTATAGATGGCTTCAGTTGGTACTTTTTCTTGGGGCCATGTGATGCAAATATAACAAAGAACACAGTTTGCTTGCTGGTGAAAAGAAGCGTTTTGATAACCCCTTTTTTCCAAAAGGTTTTTTTGAGAATAGTTAGTTCTATTTTTCTTTATTTTTGGGAAAATAGGGCTATTTTATATAAAACAAATCTCTAGGTATTTTTGGGATGCTTTTTCGTATGGAATGGAATGAGAGGGTGCCGACCGGAAGATTTGAGGGCTGCCCAACTCTCTTCTAATGGTTCATACCCATCTGCAGTTCTTTTTTGGCAAAAAGGGGGTTCAACTTTGTTGTTCTGTGGACAAAGATGTCTGATTGTCTTTTGATATATTCTACAGTAATATTTACGCTTAGAATTCTTCAACTAGAGTGGGTATGATTTTTGAAACTTCTCTTGGTTTTCTTCTCCCTGGTGTTTTGCTTCTCTATATTTTTCCTGCAACTACTGTTCTGAAGTTTCAGAAGATAATCTAGGCCATATATAATTGATGAAGCATATATCCTCTTTTCTACCTGTTTCATCACTAAACTGGCCAGCTTTTAGTTTCCCTGATCCTCATGAAACCATTCATAGTTAGCAATATTTGAGTTTCCTGGTTCTCTTCTATATCAATTTGGTGTTGGGGCTCTCAAAAGAGGTTGTTTTTACACCTACATAATAATTTTAAAATGCAAAACTGGATTCTGGTTTTATTTTGTTAGGTTGTGAAGGAATGTTTAGAAGCCGGTCCTTCCACATTTTACAAAACAGTGCAGTTGAAACATCTCATTTCAATCCAGGAAATAAATTTTGTTTTTTAAAATTTATGCATGTTATTTGGTATCATTAGAGATGGGCATTTCTTTTACTCTTTGATATTTTATTATTGATTTATTATTCACCCCACCATCATCTCATTATCTTTTTTTCTTCAAGGGCATGAGGGCAACCAGGGACACCCAGCTGAGAGAAAGCAGCAAGCAGTGCAAGCTTTTACAAAAGGACAAACTTTCTCACTTGTTAAGGGCTTCTGCCAATGAAAAGAAGGAACACATGAATGGGTTGCCAGAAATTAAGTGGAGTCAAGTGGCACATCTTCCTTATGACTTGATTTTCAAGATTCTTCTTCTACTTCCTGCCGAATCTCTTCACAGATCAAGTTTTGTGTGCAAGGCGTGGTTCAATTTGGTTAACAGCTCGAATTTCACGGATGCTTATATTTGTCATTCTGAAACAGTTTTCATCTTTCTGCAATTAGTCTCCCAAAGAAGGCCCAAGACTTTCTCTATTGAAGCCAAGCTCGGTCTATCAGAATATCACTCAATTTTTTTAACAAGGGAACCATCCAGATCTTACATCAATTTCTTAGAGGTGAAAGATGGAAAGAGTAAGGTAATCGAGTCACAAATAAGTGGCTTAAAGGATATTCTAGCAACCTGTAATGGTTTAATTTTGGCCACATGCGAGCAGAATGGAGGCTTACTTGTGATAAATCCGGTGACTAGGAAGCTTGTTGCACTTCCTCTAGGTACTATTAATGCCCGTGATGAGTCATATGGTTTTGTGTTCGGCCACTTGACTGGAGAATATAAAGTGGTACACTTGTTTCGGGATGAAAGTGGGTATATTAGTTGTGAGATACTGAGCCTTACTACTAGATCGTGGTGGGCAGTGGATGGGCCGTCTTTTGGACTATTTACGAAGTTAATACGCAAACCTGTTGCAGCCATTGGAGCCTTGCATTGGCTCCCCGCAAAACATGGTTGCAGTTACATTGTATCTTTGAGCGTTGATGATGAGAAATTTCACACTAGAGCTCTTCCTATTAGCAGCAGCGTAAATGACAGACTACTTGAGATTGGGGGATTTTTGAGCTTTGTGACTCACGTGACACTAAATCGAATAGAGGTATGGATCTTGAAGGTATTGCAAGGGGGATCATGGGTAAAGCGACATATTATCACAAGCAATAAGATAACGGATTTGATTCCCATTTCTACATTGAGGCATGGTAGAGAAATGGTCTTCAAGGGATGCAGAGATGGCTCTTTTTATGCTTATGATATCGAAATTCAAGTGATGAGAAAGGTTGAGATGGAAGGAGAACCTCACAGGCACCGCAGCTCTTACCTCCCTCATGTGAATACCCTTGCTTCATGGGAAAGTAACGCAGCCTTGTGGTAGAAGCCAACTGTTTCTTTGCTTATTTATCATTTTCATAGTAAATCAAATGAAGTGTTTCTGGAAGTATGAACTTTATAAATCAAGCTCAAGGGCTTGTTTGGGAACGATGTCTTGGATGTGGTTCTTCAATTTTTTTTTTTTTTTTTTTTTGGGGGGGGGGGGGGGCAAAGTATATAAAATTGAAAAATATGACTTATGTAGTGTACTTGACATGGCACTTGGGTGAAGTGAAGGTTGTACAAAAGTTAGTAGTGTTATTTTGTGAAGCTAATTTCCATCTTTTCATTTTTAGTGATGCTTTCTTTAATACATTAATATATGTATATGCATGGTTTGCTAAGGTTTCATTGGGACATTCATGATCTGTAACTGATACTGTAAACCCTTGTTTTGCTACTGCCAGTAATGAAGGCCCTGGTTGGTGTTTGATTGAGCCCCTCTCTCTCTCTCTCTCGCTCTCTCTGTGTCTCTCTCTCTCTCTATATATATATCACTAGCAGGTAGCATGTAAGCACACAAAGCACTCAATTTATGGTATTGGGAATTAGACCTCGTTTTACAAGTGATGATTTTAGTCAAAAAGTTATCAAAAAAATTAAAAAATTAATAATTTATATTAAAAAGTTAAACATTAATTTTTCTCTTCACTTTTTGTATATCTTTTCATAAAAAAATTAAAAAATCATCCAAAATATACTAAATTTTTTTACTTAATATTTTAGTCAAAAATAAATAAAAAATTATTAAAATAATCTATACTCAAATAAGGCCTTCATATTGTCAAGTGTGAGCAGGACACTCAGGATTACTAGGGAGTGACCAGATTTTTTCACTCTTTCTTTTAGCTAAAAAAACTATGTTGCCAAACAATCCGTGTTTATAGTATTAGTACTCAATAATAATCTTGAGAAAAATATAGAGCAATGTAACGGTTCTCAAAAAAATATCAGAAGTTATATACAATACTTATCTTTTGTGGATCCCATGTTTACAAAATAATAATAATAATAAATTCCTGCATACATCCATGTGAATATTAGGTATATTGTGCAGAGTTTTTGATTTTTATTTTTAGATCTATCTTTGCAAAATAAAACATATTGATAAATTTTCTTTTTCTTTTTTTACAATGCCCGAACGATGTTTAACCTTTTTTAAATCAAGTAAAAATTTCATCTGATATTATACATTTAACAAAACAACAATGATAGAGACCATTAATTTTAGACTTCTAAAAAAATCACTAATGACATGGCATTCAATAAAAAAAGAAAAAAAATGCAACACCAAAGTCAAAACATCAAATCATTCATGGTGGGATCCACTGTCACATCATTAGTGGTAACACTAATTACTGCTCTCACTTATTTTTCTTAACAAAATAATCCGTTTGGAAAGAAAAAAGCCAGGCTTTTTTGGCTAAAGTAGCCACAAAAAACAAAATAGGCTATTTTAACCACAAAAAACAAAACATCAAATCCAACCCAAAAACTCTCTCTCAAAATAATTTTCCAAAACATCTTTCCAAAAAAACCAAACCAAACAACTTTTCGTACTTTTTATCTCCCAAACTCATCTCCCAAAATCAAACCAAACAAGCCCTTTGATTTTTATTTTTAGATCTATCTTTGCAAAATAAAACATATTGATAAATTTTCTTTTTCTTTTTTTACAATGCCCGAACGATGTTTAACCTTTTTTAAATCAAGTAAAAATTTCATCTGATATTATACATTTTAACAAAACAACATTGATAGAGACCATTAATTTTAGAGTTCTAAAAAGATCACTAATGACATGACATTCAATAAAAAAAGAAAAAAAATACAACACCAAAGTCAAAACATCAAATCATTCATGGTGAGACCCACTGTCACATCATTAGTGGTAGCACTAATTACTGCTCTCACTTATTTTTCTTAACAAAATAATCCGTTTGGAAAGAAAAAAGCCAGGCTTTTTTGGCTAAAATAGCCACAAAAAACAAAATAGGCTATTTTAACCACAAAAAACAAAACATCAAATTCAACCCATAATCATTACAATCATCTTTCACAAAAAAAGCTAAAAAATCCAAAAGCCAAAAAATCCTTCCCAAATCAGGCTAAAATAACCCAAGTTAAAAAAGTAAAAAGCTAAAAAATCCAAAAGCCAAAAAATCCTTCCCAAAACAGGCTAAAATAACCCAAGTTAAAAAAGTGAAAAAGCCAACCCACTCCAAACTGCTGGGCGACCGAGATGTTGACCGGCCAGCGAAATTTTTCCACATATTTTGGAGGGAGTGAGAAAGAGAAGAAACAGAGTCTATAGGGAGAGAGAGAGAGAGGTGGGTTTCTTTCTACTCTCTCTGTTTCATCCACTTTCTATGTTCTTGGTACAATGGAAGCGCTTCTCGAACCGTGGAGTTTCAGTTGAGAGAGAAGGCACAGTTGTGGGATATACATTCCCCTGTTCTTTGTTTTTCAGGTTTGCATTCATAATGGTTCTACTCTAACTTAAAGCTTTCTGTTAAAGATCATTTTCTTTCTCTTTTCCATCACTTTTTCCATGTTCCACTCAACAATTCTAATGGGTTGAAGTCACTTTTCTCTGTTTCTTCATCTGGAAAACCCTAAATTTTCCTTTACAAGATTGCTGGGTTATTTTTTTATATTTATAATATTAGTCTCGAAGAAGAAAACAAGTTCTTGTATGTAATTAGTACAATCTCATATTTTAGTTCATATCTTCTGTTTAATCTTGAATGTATCTGTTTCTTTTCTTGGAATATCTTGTTTAAATTATCATTGTTTTGACAGAAATTTGTTCTTCTCGCAAGAATTTTCCTGCAAAAATTAGCTTTTTATTCTCAAGAAATTTTCCATGAAACATTTCTTGTCAAAACAGACTGTCTTATCATTTGCTATGACATATTCTGAAAAAATGTGCTCCGGGGACGAAGTGCAGAGGGAGAGAGAGAGAGAGTCTCAGTTCAAAACAAGTGTGTCTTTTCTTGAAAACATGCTTTGTTAGTTTTTGAACAATCTTGAAGAAATAAAGAACTCATTTGCATGTGATAATTCTAGACTCTGTTTGTATTTACATATTTCATTTTGTAATACCACTTTGTAAAATTACTTTTGTTGCTGATAAAATATAAAAATAAAAAAGCTCACTTTTTGACACTGAAATCTTGGTGATATGTTTGATCTCAAAGTTCCATCCTTATATTTTCTTTGAATTTGGATACTAACCCTCTGTTTTGTTTCAGGGGAAAGTTTTTTTTGGGTGAATAATTTCAGAGGAAAGTTACCTTTTCTTTTAAAAGTTCTTTTTTTAGAAATATTTTCCTTCAAAACAAAAGGTTTTTCGTTCTTACTGTACTTTTTTTCCCATCCAGTGGTTGTCATTGTGATTGAATTTTGTCAATATAGAGACAAGAACGAGCGATTCTAATGAATTCAGATCAAGAAACAGGTGACATTATGTCCGGAATTGATAGGGAAACACTGTCACTGGTATTGCAGTCCCTTACTGAGATGAACTTCAGAAAAACTCATCGCGTGTAAATTCTTCCCCCTAAACCATTGTTTGTTCTTCATCTCTGAATTTCCACCATTGCTTGTTTTATTGTATCAATCATTTGTTTTTTCTGTTATAGGCTCGAGAGCGAGTCAGGTGTCTTCATTGACATCAAGTATGTTGAGGAGCTGGTGGCTACTAAAAAATGGGATGAGGTCACAAGATACGTTTCTGGCTTCACCAAATGGGATGACAACCATCATTCTACTACCATTAATTTCATTTTCTGGAGCTGGAAGTACTTTGAGGCATTGGACAAGTAAGTAAGGAATTTTATAGGAGTTTTTTTCTACCTTGTATGCCATTTTTTTTTTTGTCTTCTTCAGAATCTTGTTTATTCTATTTTGTTGAAATTGATTAGGTGCAATCTTCACAAAGCCACAGATATTCTTACGAACAAACTACAAGTTTTTTCTGAGTCTAATGAAGAATTAATGAAGGAGATGACCTTGATATTAAAATGTCATCTCAGGTACGACATGAGTCATTAAAAAAAAAAGAAACGAGATCTAGAAAATTCTTCTGATACTTGATGGAATTAGTATGTATGAATGACATTATCAACTTTTTACTAGGTTGGCTAACAGGGAGATCCAAAGAAAGAATCTGAAGGGAACGTTGTTCAAGAAGTGTTTGAAAGAACTTCCCATAATACACTTCCCTACCTTAGCATATTCAAAGCTAAAGCATCTCTTTCTCCAAGGGTAACATGTTTTCATTAGAAAAAAAAGGGAATAGATATTTGTGTTTTTCATGTACAACTTAGTCCTTTTTTGTTTTAGTTGAATTGGATTGATGCTCTTCGCAATTTCTAGTATGATTTGTTGAAATCCCAGTCCTGATCCTAAATTGAGAATGCTTATTTGTGGATGCTAAACTCAGAAATCCCAATAATTCTGAGGCTGGATTAGCATCACAATCTGCAAATTTGGCCCCAGAAGGTCAAATTGAGGTATGTGATCCTAAATCATTAATTCTATATCTTTTAGTAGTTTTCGTGCAAAGGTTTGAATGGACTGCTTCTACATTTTGTTTCAGCCGCGACTAACCATAGTAAAACCAGTTCCAGATCCCTTGAGCCGGCAGCTAAAAAACCTACGAACTATAAATCAGGATCCCCCTTGCTTGTCAAGAATTAGGCGCGAGACTGTGACCAAGGTCAGTTTACTAAATCTTCTCTTGGATCTTCAAGAATCTTAATCCAAAATCTGTAGAACCGAATTCTTTTGGGTACAGCTCGATTTCTTTTCGCAACCAAAATCTGTGATACGTTGTGGCGTTTTCACAACCAAAATTTGTAAGCCCATACTTTTGGCTTATCAGGTCATAGTTTTCTGTTATCCTGTACATTTTATCAACAAGAATCTTCATCCATAAATTATTTTGATAGTACTTTTGAAGAACCAAATTCATTTGATTATCCAGAGCAAGGATGTGAGGAAAAATGTAAATCCTAGATTAGATGAAGTTCGACCAAGCAAGAGGATGAGGCTCAACGCACTTACTCAGCCTAATCAAATTTGGTCCATTACAGTGTCTGAACCTCCAGAAACAAACATGGTATGACTTCATTGGTCCTTATTGCTCATGTAAAGAAAATTACTTCTTATTCTCTTCTCGCTTGACAAATGCAGATCATAAGGTTGATCTATACAAATTCTGGTATGGGCCTTCTAGTATTAGCATCAAATGGCATTAAAATACTCTGGAAGTTGCAAAAAGATGATACAAACCCGGACAACAAGGTAAACATTTCCCATCTTTTATTTGAAATTATTCCTCTTTTGGCCAATAAAATTGTAAAAAACATTAAAAAAAAATGATGAATATTATGAAGAACTGTTTCATGGTGCAGGCAAAAACAACCATGTACACCCTTCAATTGTGGGAGCCAGGAGCAGGAAAACAAATGAAAAATGACTTTCCTGGCATCAACTGTTTTGCCTTGACGAACAATGATAGTTTTCTCATGTTAGCATCTGGAGGGTCAATGACCTTGTTCGACACTACTGGCTCTGAGGTATTTTACAAAACAAACTAAAACATGAAGCTTGGGAGTGGCTTAACTGTCCTCTGGTTTTACATTGAGTGGTATCAAGAAAATGTTAATCTTCCCTTCAATTTGGTTTCTTCCTCTAGCATAAAAACATATTGAAGTGTGCTTGTAATCTTTCCTTACATTGTTTTGTTTGGCTTACACGGACCATCCCCAAATGTTGGATAATCACAGACTACAAAGGTTTTCATGTGCCCGGCATGTAAAGCGACTTGTCTGCTTTTCCACCCTCAGGACAACAATGTCATTTTTATCGGCATGGATAATTCAACAATTCAGATATTTAATGTGCATTTGTCTAAGGTATGATATCATGTATATAAAGATGAAATGTTGTTTATATACTTATTTTGGTTCAAAGAGGATAACCCAAGGAAAAAAAAACAAACAAACAAACAAACAAACAAAACTATTTTGCAGCATAAAGTCATTGCTGGTCACTGTAGAAGAATCACTGGCCTAGGCTTTTCCACTAAGCAGAATGTACTTGTTTCTTCTGCAGCAAATTCTGAGGTTTGAAATTTAATCGTTTATCTTGGTCTGTACATGCATATCTAAACGTGCTATTAATTTTAATGGCATGGATTTTGATTTTGCAAACAAATGTGTTTTTATTTGTTAAATCCAGATTATAGTGTGGGGGTACAATGCTGGTAAGTTAATAGAAAAGAAGAAGACTAGCTTGTTGCAATTTCGAGATGGGAGGATACTTGAATCACTACTGTTGGACACTCATGTTCAGTTTCACCAAGATCAGAAACACTTCCTTGCTGTGAATGAATTGAAATTCGCCATATACGAAACAACAGAGCTAGAATGTAAAAATCAGGTATCTTTATTTTAAAAACACAATGAATTGTGGAAGTATATGGGTTTTTTTTAGGGAGATACTATTTTCTTTCCAGGTTATCTAATGCTTTTGTTTCTGCATTGCCAGTGGTCCCCAGTAGAATTGTCAAAAGTGATTGTCCATGCAACATTTTCATGTGATAGCCAGTTGGTGTATGCTTTGTTTAAGGAAGGAACTGTAGCCGTGTTTTCTGCTTCAAATCTCCAACTACTATCTCTGTTAAATCGTGATGCTTATCTTTCGTCCAACATCAGGTATTTGATGTATCTGACAAACTGCGTCACTCCCAAGCTTCTTTTTTTAGTTTGTTCAATCAGCATTCAGTGCAGATAACAAGCTAGTAGTCATGAAATTTGATGTCTTATATAAAAAACAAGACCCAAGAAGTACACATTAATGTGTGTTTGGGAGGGGAAAGATTCAGTACACACCTAACCTTTGGCATAAAGCGTAAAGTGGTGGCCTAAGACTTGAACCCATAACCTCAAGGTTATTAGGCCAAGTCTTAACCATTAAACCAATGGTCACCCCTAAATTTGATGTCTTATATATCATTTGATAAAAGTTAAATGAGTTGTAATTTAGTAATTCCAAAATGATTTTCCAAAAAAACTCGATAAGAGCTGCTTCTTCTCCATAACATTACATACACTCTACAATCTTCTTGGGCATTATCTTCAACATTTCACGGCCAGATCTTCTTCTCTTGCCAATCCTTGATGTTGTCCTAGATCATCAAATAATACTAAATCCCTTGAAATTATGTTGAATTAGGGTTGCTTCATTTTTCACTACTATGTTATGGTTTTGGATTTGGCCTACATTCATGGTGATTGAACTAGCATATATATATGGTGATTGGGCCAAATTATATATTTCCTTAGCTTACATGATTGTTGGCAACAATTCTAACTCTCTCTTTTTCTTTCTTTCTTTCTCTTCTTCTTCTCTCTACAGTTCTCAAGCATACCCACTTGTGATTGCTGTAGATCCACAAGAATGCCGCCAGATTGCATTAGGATTCAGTGATGGAAGGGTAATTGTAATTGAGTTGCCTGAATCTTTAGCTCAACAACAGGTTGTGCCCCCAATTGTTGAGGATGAGTCAACAAGATGCAAAAGTCCTACACTACAAATGGTTGATTCTGGTTCAGATAATTCTGATTCAGATTGATTAAGGCCTTGTTTGGTTATTCAAGTTAGATTTAGTATCAGTTTATATAGAAGGTTACATGTGTATAGTTCTCACCAAATCTACATCAAGTGGCATAGACCAAAGCAATTTTGAGCAGAATCACTGAATGTCAAATTCTATAGTATCATGATTAAATAATTCAGAATGCCATCTTCTAGTTTTGTTCTTTCTAAAAAGAATGGGAGAAACAATAATGAATCTGCCAGCATATGGTCGATCTAAGCTTGTATAAGCCAAATGATTGAAGTGTTTTTGCTCTATATTGTATTTTTAATTTTTTTGAAGGTGCCCTTGGATTTTAAAATTTTGGATGGAGAGGAAAAAACAAAGAGAGAAGATAAAGTATATAAACACATGGAAAAAGGGACTCAAAACTTATGAAATTTAAAAATCAACAACCTCCAAAATCTAAGAAAATAACCCTATTATCCTCATTTCCTTCCTTGTCTGTGGGTTAATTTATTTTTATATTCTAACCTGCCACTATTTTTTTCATTTTATCTTTAAATTATCGATTTTATCTATTTAATTCTTAGAGTTTTTAATTTTAGTTTATGTAATCCAATTAGAGATGATTGTACAAAATCAACAACCGTAAAAACTTAATTTGATGGTAAAAAATGTAATTTTAAAATTTAAACAATTTTTCCATATTAACCAAACACCCATCAAATTAGTTATAAAATAGTAAAAAAAATAAATTCTTAATTATATGATTTAAATTATTTAACTTTTAAAATTTTTTTGCATATCGAATCAAACTCTAATTGTTACTGACTTGTATAATTGTTTTCAATTAAATTATGAGTTAAATATATATATATATATGAACTAAATAGATAAAAAAAATACATAATTTATAGATGACAAGTGTCATGTGAAACATTGCTCAAACCCAAATAACTTCTCAATCACCACCACTCTCCCCATCTCTCTACCATTGCCACCACCCACCACCATTTTAATGACATTCCTAACAAACAATAATATTATATTCTGAAAAATATTGTTTGATTCTGCGTAAAATGCGACAACCTTGAAGGTGTGTGATTGTCCATGCAACATTTTCATGTGATAGTCAGTTGGTGTACATCGCGATTACTTGAATTTGATTTTTTCAAACAATTGGCCAAAAAAAAGTAAAAGGAAAAAAAGGGTTGCATTTATAATTTTGGATGTGAAAGTGTTTTTCACGCGTTCTTAATGAGAATGGGACTAATGCGTTGGCTCACACAAGTCACCAACTGCTTATCAACTAGTATAAGCAGCAGCTCTTATCAAGTTGTTGTACTAGTTTCTTGACTGGATCAGAATGTCTTGTTATATAAATTAGTGTAAATGTATATTTAAATGAAAGATTTGGGAAGAGATTTAAAAAGATATGTGAAATTAAATAAAATGTACTTACATTTTTCCTTTTTCTTTTCAAATTCCTTCTAAATTCTCCAACCAAACAGCATTAAGAATTTTTCCCAGAAAGTTCTCTTATGGAGAGAAAGAAAACAGAGAAACAGAGTCTAGAGAGAGAGGTTGGTTTTACTCTCTGTTCCATCTATTTCCTATGTTCTTGGTGAGAGGAGAGAGAGAGAGTACATCAGAAGCATTTCTTGAACCAAGGAGTTTCAGTTGAGAGAAAGTAGAGAGAGAAAGCACAGTTTCAGGGTATACATTCTCCTGTTCTTCTCTGTTTTGCAGGTATGCATTCGTTGTTCTACCTTATTCTTTCAATTCTGTCAGGTTTGTTTAACTTAAAGATCATTTTTCTCTCTCTTTTCCATGTGACACTCAACATTTGTAATGGGTTGAAGTCATTTCTCTGTTTCTTTATCTGTGAAACCCTAATATTTCATTTACAAAATTCTGGGTTTTTGACAATATATTAGTGTCGAAGAAGTGGAGAAGTTGTATATGTAATTAGTTTGATTTCATGTTTTGGTTTTCTATCTTCTGTTTAATCTTAAATGCGTCCATTTCTTTTATTTTCTTCGAACAACTCGTTCCAATTATGTTTGGTTTGACAGAAATCAGTTCTTGCGCGAATTTTGCTTCAGATATATTAACTTTTTATTTCTCAAGAAACTTTCCATGAAAACACTTATTGTCCAAACATGAGTGCCTTCTATAATTTTCTATGACATATTAGCGGCTCAAGAATTTTTGAGGCCTCACGCTAAATGCTAAAATGAAGCCTTACTCTACAGTGCCTATTAAAATTTGAGGCCTTTGACATCTTTTGAAAGCAGAGTGTCTTTTCCTTGGAACAAGTCTTGTTAGTTTTTGAACAATCTTGAAGAAATAAAGAACTCATTTGCATGTGATAATTCTAGACCGGGTTTGTATTTACATATTTCATTTTGGTAGTATCCACTTTTCAACACTTCATGGTAATATGTTTGATCTCAAAGCATCATCCTTGTCATTTTTATTTGAATTCGGATGCTAGCCCCTCTGTTTGTTACATGGGAAAGTTAGTTTCTTTTTCTTAAGACTTTTTGTGGAAACATTTTCCTTAAGACAAAAGTTTCTTTTATTCTAACTAGACTTTTTACATGCAGTGGTTATTGTGATTGAATTTTGTTGATACAGAGACAAGAAGGAGCGATTCTAATGAGTTCATATCAAGAAACAGGTGACATTAAGTCTGGAATGATTAGGGAAAAACTGTTAGCAGTATTCAAATACCTTACTGAGAAGAACTTCCAAAAAGCTCGTCACGAGTAAATTCCTCCCCCAAATCATTATTTCTTCTTCATCTTTGAATTTCCAGTGTTAGCTTTTTTTTTATTTTATCAATCATTATTTCCTTTTTCTCTTTCCGGATAGGTTCGAGTGTGAGTCGGGCCTCTTCTTCGACATCAAGTATTTTGAGGAGCTGGTGGTTAACGGGGATTGGGATGAGGCTGATAGATATCTTTCTTGCTTCACCAAATGGGACGACAACCGTCATTCTATGAAAATGTTTTTTGAAATCAAGAAGCAGAAATACTTTGAGGCATTGGACAAGTGAGTGGGTAATTCTCAGGAATTTTATAGAAGGTTTTTTCCTCTCTTATATGCCATGTTTTTTTGGTCTTCTCAGAATCTTGTTTGTCCTAATTTGCTGAAATTGATTAGGTGCAATTTTCATGAAGCAACCGATATTCTTATGAACGAACTGAAAGTTTTTTCTGAGTCTGATCAAGAATTAACCAAGGAGATGACTGACCTATTAAAAAATAAAAGGTATGAGTTCAAAAAAAAAAAGATCTTGTAATTTTTTCCGATACTTGATGGAATTAGTTTGTGACTTTTTGTAGGGAACATAGACAACTCACAGGGCATGCTAACACGGAGATCCAAAGAAAGAATCTGATGGGAATGTTGTTCAATAAACTTTTGATAAACCATCCCATTATCAGTGAAAAACTGCAGTTCCCTACCTTAGCAGATTCAACGTTAAAACATCAATTTCCCAAAGGGTAGTATGCTTTTCATTAGGGGAAAAAAAAAAAAAGGATTAGATATTTGTGTTTTTATTTTTTTTGGTTTTAGTTGAATTGGATTGATACTCTTTGTAATTTCTAGTATGATTTGTTGAAATCCCAGTCCTGATCTTAAACTGAGAATGCTTATTTGTGAATGATAAACGCAGAAGTCCCAATTATTCTGATGCTAGTTTGGCTTCGCAATCTACACATTTGGTTCCAGTGGGTCAAATTGAGGTGGGTCAAGTTGAGGTATGCGATCCTAAATCATCGATTCTATATCCTTTTTTGCAGTTTTCTCACAAAGGATTGCTTAGACTGCTTACTACATTTTGTTTCAGCCACTACAAACCATAGCAAGACCAGTTCCAGATCCCTTGAGCCTGCCGCAGAATAATCTACCAACCATAAATCAGCAGGGAGGTAAGCTATTACACTGATTTTTTATACAAGCACACAAAAATTTGAATTATTAAGTACTCAAAAAATTCACCACATTGCCTGGTTTAGGTGCACCTTTGGCGAGCATCAATAATTTTTGTGACATCTCTAACACGCGCCTCTCTGGAATTTCAAACACAGTAAGGCATATACTAGCTATATAACTGCAAAGGGCATAATCTTTTTTCTGACTTGTGTTTCATTTCCACTTTTTACACTGCTATCAATTTCATTTATTTATTTTTTGGAACATTTCACTGCTTTACATTTGTGTCTGGACATTTTGTAGAGGATATTGCCAGCTCCTGGTGAATATGGAAGTAGTCGTAGACTCTTTGATGCAAACGCTGGGATCACCAATTCTGTCGGCACAATTAATCAGGATACCCCTACTTTGTCAAGAATTAGGCCCGAGACTGTGACTAAGGTCAGTTTACTACTTACCCAAAAAAAAGGTCAGTTTTCTAAATCTCCACATCTACAAGAATCTTAATCCAAAACCTGTAGAAAGGCATTCTTTTGGGTACAGCTCGAGTTTACTTTGCAACTAAATGTGAGAATATGTTGTATATATGGCAGGATTGTGTATATATGGCATGATTGTGTATCTGATTGTGGTGTAAATAGGAACTTTGTATAACCAACTAGGCGTTGCCTTTCTTAGGGCTTAGTTTAAAGGAGATTATGGGTTCAATTCCCCTTAAGGTTTAAGGTTCAAGGGAGTTGAATTAAGGCAGTGCAAACACTTATGTGCTTTGTCAAGGTGGGGAGATTTTCTAACAACTAACATTTGCCGATAAAAAAAAAAATAGGAACTTTGTATTTCCTTTTTGCAGATATAGATTTAGGGCTATATAAACTGATGAACTGTTTGTAAACAAATACAATTGAATATATAAGAACATTCAGAAATCTTACATGTATCAGAGCCAAGTGCGACACCCTAGCAGAAATCGCAACTGGTTCTCTGGTTCTGAGCTTTAGTTCGATCAAAGTTCTCTTTGATTCTGTTCTGGTTCTGTTCACCACCCATCATCACGGTCAAGTTCACCCTCTGCTTCGTCTTGCTTGTGCGACTCATCTGAGTTCAAATCGCGACCCGTCAACTCGTGACCCACCAGCTTCACTTCACGACTTCGCATCATAGCTTGTTTGGTTCGACCCACCTTGTTCCCTCTGACTCACGACTCATCTGGTTCGCATCGCGAAGTTCTCTGGTTTGAAGTTCTACTTGTTCGACACCTCTCTCTGGTCTCGGAGTTGCAATTGACATCTCGATCAGCATCTGCCTTCGTCGTATCGAAACCTACCTGGTTCGCGACTTGTTTCCTCTGTTGCCGACTTGGTTCTGGACGTGCGACGCTTGCTCGATCTCTCTCACTCTGATTCGTCTTCATCTGACACCACTAGTGACGTCTTGGAGTCCCAGATATTCGGTTTTATTTTGGGATTAGTACACTTGAACCCCTAATTTTTGTTTATTACACATAAACCCCTTAGTCTGGTCATTATGATGTCTCTTGCTATTGATGAGCGTGCCTTTTGTCATCAAAGAGGCCATTGGAAGGATCACTGTCCTAAGAAGGGACGTCTGCCTACCTCGTCCCTACAACAGTCTCAGAAACAGTGTCGTGCTCCTCCTACCGTTATACTGCATCTGCTCAGTCTTGTGAGCTTGACTTGGCTTCCTTGAGTGCTCAAATTGGTCAGCTTCAGCATATTCTGTCTACCTCTTAGCCCTCCCCATTTGCTTCGGTTGTTTCCTCTCTTCATTCAGGTTTGCTTGAATCTTCTTCAGGTATCTCTTCGTTTGTCTAGTTTTTTGACCTTGGTGTCTCTCATCATATGACTCTCCATCTCTTTTTACTTCAAAATTGTACTCCCCTCTCTTTTCTATTACTGTTAATGCTGCTAATGGGTCTGGTATACTTGTTATATCTGTTGGATCTGTCTTACCGTCTACTATGTTTGTTATCTCTATTCCATCTGTCATTTATGTTCCTAAATTATCTGTCAGTTTATTATCTATGAGTAAGCTTGATACCTTTGGTTTTGATGTTATCTTTTCTTCTTTTATCTGTTCTGTGCAGGATCGGATATCCAAGCAGCAGATTGGAACTGGCCGTAGAGTTAGAAGCCTCTATATGGTGGAGAGCTTGCATCTGCCTATGACAACCTCTCCAACTGCTTTTTTCTCTTTTCAGTTAGATTCTTTGTCTAGTCATTTCTACTTGTGGCATTCTAGATCAAGACACTTATCTGCTGACCGCTTACGATTTTTAGTTCAGTCAGGTATATTGGGTAAAGTTTCTCCTAGTGAACTTACTGAATGTCGGGGGTGTAAACTTGCCAAAATGACAGCCTTACCTTTTCGTAAAAGCACTTCTATATTTAATACACCGTTTTCTTTAGTTCATACTGATGTTTGGAGTCCTTCTTCTATTCTCACCAAAGGAGGTTCTGCATACTATGTGTCATTTGTTGATGACTGCACCCATTACACTTGGGTTTATCTTATGACTCATAAATCCTATTTCTATCAGATATACCGTATCTTTTGGTCTATGATTACTACCCAGTTTGGGTCTACAATTAAAGTGTTATGGTCTGACTTGGGTGGGGAATATTTTAAAAACGAGTTCTGTGAGTATTTGGCCAATTTGGGTACTATTCACCAAACTTCCTGTATAGATACACCTGTCCAAAATGGTCGAGCTGAGCGTAAATACCGTCATCTCCTTGAGACGGCTAGGTCTCTTCTTCTCTCTGCCTCAGTTCCGGCTCCATTTTGGGAGGAGGTAGTTCTTATTGCTGCTTTTCTTCTCAACCACATGCCTACTCCCCTTCTTTCTGGTCGGTCTCCTTATGAGGCTTTGTTCTCCTAAATTCCTAACTACTCCCTCCTTCGTGTGTTTGGATCTGCCTGTTTTGTCCTTTTTTCTTGCAAAGATAGAACCAAACTTAGCGCCCGGTTTGTCCTCTGTGTCTTTTTGGGTTATAGTCCTACTTAGAAAGACTATCGGTGTTACGACCTTGTTTCCTATCGTCTTTATGTCTCCCGTCATGTTTCTTTTCTCGAACGTCTACCTTACTTTCAACTTCCTCTTATCATTGCTCTAGTTTTCAAAGAAGATTTGGTTCACATTGATTCATTTCCTTCTGAGGTTCTTTCTGATGAGTACATCTCCACTGTTCCTTCTAAGCTTGTTCCACTTTCTCCACCTTCCACCCCTCATGTTGAGTACCTCTCCACTGCCCCCCCTCAAGCTATTCTTACTGCTCCTCCTGTTTCACCTCTGGTTACATCTCTTCCTCCGTTGTTAGTTTATTCTTATCGCAAGGCTCCCCATTCACCAGTTGTCTCTGCCCTAGTTGTTCATTCTTCTGCTTCTGAAAACTCTGAACTTGCTGCACACTGCTATCCTACTTAAGCACGTCGTCCTCTAAACAGGTTGGGTTGGTCTAATACATGTTTTTCTACTTCCTATCGTACTTTTTTGTCTACTATTCATTCTTTTTTAGAACCTCAGTCTTACAAGGAGGCCTGTCAGGATCCCAATTGGGTTTGAGCTATGGAGGATGAGTTGTCTACTTTTCAGAAAACTAGTACTTGAGAATTGGTTCCTTTGCCTTCTGATAAGAATTTGATTGGTTGCAAATGGGTCTACAAAGTCAAGACTCATTCTGATGGTTTTCTTGAGCGCTACAAGGCTCACCTGGTTGCCAAGGGTTTTTTGTAGGAGTATGGTATTGATTATGAGGAGACCTTTGCTCCTGTTGCCAAGATGATTATTGTTCGTACTTTGATATCTGTCGCTGCTGTTCGCCATTGGCCTATTTATTAGATAGATGTTAAGAATGCTTTTCTTAATGCTCATCTCGCTGAGGAAGGTTACATGCGTCCTCCCCCTGGCCTTCACCATTCCTCTGGACAGGTTTGTCGTCTTCGGCTTGCGCTATATGGTCTGAAGCAATCTCTACGTGCTTGGTATGATCGCTTTCAGACTACTGTTACTGATCTTGGATTTCATCTTTCTACTTTCGACTCTGCTTTGTTTCTGAGACATACCTCGGCTGGCTTTGTTGCTCTCTTACTATCTGTGGATTATATAATCATCATTGGCTCTGACTCTTCTGCTATCTCCGAGGTCAAGCAGCATCTTTTCCACACATTCAATATGAAGGATTTGGGTCCATTGCGGTATTTTCTTGGTATTGAGGTTTGTTCTTCTCCAAAGGGCTGTTTTCTGTCTCAGGCTACGTATGCTAATGAGGTCATTCACCGTGCTGGTCTTACTGATACTAAGGTTTCTGATACCCCTATTGAGCTTAATGTGAAGCTCACCTCTATTGATGGAGTCCCTCTGGATAATCCCACTTTATATCGCGAGCTTGTGAGTTGTTTAGTTTATCTGACTATCACTCGGCCTGATCTTGCTTATGCTCTTCATGTGGTTAGTCAGTTCGTTTCTGATCCTCGCTCTACCCATTGGATTGCTTTGGTTCGCATTCTTCGCTATTTCCGGGATACCATCTTTCAGGGCTTACTGTTGTCCTCTATTTCCTCTTTAGACTTGGTGGCCTATGTTGATTCTGATTGAGCTGGTGATGTTAATGATTGTAAGTCCACCACTGGTTTTTGTATGTTTCTTGGCGATTCCTTGATCTCTTGAAAAAGTAAGAAACAAACTGTTGTTGCTCGCTCTACTGCTGAAGTTGAGTATTGTGTTATGGCTCATGCTACTGCTGAGCTTATTTGGCTTTGTCGTCTTCTCTCTGATTTGGGTGTATCTCAGTCTTCTCCGACCTCTGTCTATTATGACAACCACGGTGCTATTCAAATTGCCCACAATACTATCTTCCATGAACGGACAAAACACATTGAGATTGATTATCACTTTGTCCAACAGCGTCTGCAGTCTGGCTCTATCTCGCTTCCTTTCGTCTCCTCAGCTTTGCAACATGCGGACTTCTTCACTAAGACTCACACTACCGCTCGATTTCAGTTTCTTCTTAGCAAACTCTCAGTATTTTCTGCTAAAATACCTTGAGTTTGAGCGGGGGTGTGAGAATATATTGGATATATGGCATGAATGTGTATCGTAGGAATTAGGAAAGATTCTGGTGTAAATAGGAATTTTGTATTTCCTTTTTTCAGATATAGATTTAGGGCTATATAAACTGATGAGCTCTTTGTAAACAAATACAATTGAATATACAGAAACATTCAGAAATCTTACACTAAATTCTGTAAATCCATATGTTTGGCGTTTTGACAAAATTTATCTTTTTAAAACTTTTGGCGTATCAGGTCATAGTTTTCTGTTATCCTGTACATTTTATCGACAAGAATCTTCATCCATAAATTGTTTTGATAGTACTTTTGAAGTAACAAATTCATTTGATTATCCAAAACCAGGACATGAGGAACAATGTGAATCCTAGATTAGATGAAGTCCCACCAAACAAGAGGATGAGGCTCAATGTGCTTAGTCGACCTAATCAAATTCGGTCCTTGATAGTCTCTGAACCTCCAGAAACAGATAAGGTATGATTTCATTGGACCTTGTTGTTCATGTAAGAAAACTTACTTCTTATTCTCTTCTCACATGACTAATGCAGATCACAAGGTTGATCTATACAAATTCTGGTATGGCTCTTCTAGCATTATCATCAAATGGCATTCAAATGTTCAGGAAGTTGCCAAAATCCGATACAAACCCAGACAGCAAGGTACATGTTTCCCATCTATATGAAGCAAAATTGTAAAAAGCATAAATAAAAAGTGATGATTATTATGAACTGTCTCATGGTGCAGGAAAAAACCGTGCATCCCCTTCCATCATTGTGGAAGCCACGTGCAGGAAAACAAATGGGAAATGACTTTTCCAGCATCGACTGTTTTGCCTTGTCTAACGATGAAAATTTTCTCATGTTAGCATCTGGAGGCTCAATGGCCTTGTTTGACACTACAGGCTGTGAGGTATTCTACAAAACAAACTAAAATGATGCTTGGGAGTGGTGTAACTGTCCTCTGTTTTACATTTAGTGGTATCAAGAAAATGTTAATCTTCCCTTCAATTTGGTTTCTTCCTGTGGCATGAAGAAATATTGGAAGTGTGCTTTAAATCTTCCCTTACGTTGTTTGTTTGGTTACACTGACCATTTCCAAATGTTGGATGATCACAGACAAAGGGTTTCAGTTGCCCGGCAACTGCAACATGTCTGCTTTTCCACCCTGAAGACAACAATGTCATTATTGTAGGCATGGATGATTCAACAATTCAGATATTTAATGTGCATTTGTCTAAGGTATGATATTATGTATATAAACATGAAATGTTATTTGTTTTAGTTCAAAGAGGACAACCAAAAATAAAAACTTTTGTAGGTTAAATTCAAGTTTGCGGGTCACTGTAGAAGAATCACTGACCTAGCCTTTTCCACTAAGCTGAATGTACTTGTTTCTTCCGCAGCAGATGCTGAGGTTCAAAATTTAATTTTTTATCTTGCTCTGTAGATGCATATTTAAATCTGCTATTAATTTGAATGACATGGATTTTGATTTTGCAATCAAATGTTTTTTTATCTGTTAAATCCAGATTATAGTGTGGGAGTACAGGGACTGTAAGTTCAAAGAAATGAAGAAGCACAGCTTCTTGTGGTTTCAAGATGAGAGCATACTCAGATCAATACTGTGGGACACCCAGGTTCAGTTTCATCAAGATCAGAAACACTTCCTTGTGGTGACTGAATTGAAATTTGCCATATATACAACAGAGCTAGAATGTAAAAACCAGGTATCTTCATTTAAAGGACACCAGGTATTGTGGGCATAATTTTAACTGTGCGGGGGTCGATACCAGGTTATCAAATGCTTTTGTTTCTGCATTGCCAGAGGTGTCTCCCATTGGATCTGTCAAAAATGATTGTCCATGCAACATTTTCATGTGATAGTCAGTTGGTGTACATCGCGATTAAGAATGGAACTGTTGCCATGTTTTCTTTTTCAAATCTCCAACTACTATGTGAGATTCTTCGTGATGCTTATCTTCCGTCCAATATCAGGTATTTGATGTATTTAACAAACTGTGTCTGTTAAGATGTGTGTCCTCAGTCCTCACTTCACCGGTGTAGCTATTCTGTTTAAAATAGGTCATCAATCAGCATTCAGTGCCTGATTGTAAGCTAGTAATTGTGACAAAAAACTATTCATGTTTCGTTAAAGTTTTTTAGTCTTAATCATTGGATAAAAATTTCTGTGAGGTGTAATTTAGTAGTAATTCACAGCTTTAGAAATTCCAAAATGATTTGCCAAACAACCGCGATAAAAGCCTTTCCTTCTCCATAACATTACATACACTCTAGAATCTTTTGGTGCATTATCTATCTTCAATATTTCTCCGGATCTTCTTCTTGCCAATTATTTCCCAACATTCCATGATGGTGTCCTAGATCATCAAATAATACTATATCCTTTGAAATTATTTTGAATCAGGGTTGTTTCATTTTTCAATATGTTATGGTTTTGGGATTGGCCTGCATTCATGGTGATTGAACTAGCATATATATATATGATGTGGTCATAAGCAATATGTGGGCCAAATTACAAAATTGCGTAGCTTACGTGATTGTTGGCAACAATCCTAACTCTTTTTTTTCTTCTTCTTTCTTATTCTCCCTACAGTTCTCATGCATACCCAATTGTGATTGCTGCACATCCGCAAAAACGCAACCAGATTGCATTAGGATTCAGTGATGGAAGGGTTATTGTAATTGAGCTACCTGAGTCTACAGCTCAACAACATGTTGCGCCCTCACCTGTTGAGAGTGAGTCAACAAGAAGCAAAACTCATACTGCACAACAAATGGTAGGTTCTAGTTCAGATAAACCCCATTAACCTGATCAAGACCTTGTTTGGTTATTCAAGTTAGATTTAGTATTAGTTTATATAAAAGGTTACATGTATAGTTTACTCCAAATCTACATCAAACAATTTTGAGCAAAAACTCTGTATGTCAAATTATGTAGTATTATGATCAATTGATTGCCTGTCAATTTCTTCAGAATGCCTTCGCCTAGTTTTATTTATCTAAAAGAATCTGCTAGCATGTGGTGGATCTAAGCTTCTACAAGCCAAGTGGTTTCAGTGTTCTTGCCATAATATTGCATTTTTATGTTTTCTAAGGCTATGTTTGGATTAATTTGTGAAGGGAGAGAAAAGCAAAGAGAAAAGACAAATAAAAAGAAGAATCTCCATTTATCTTCTCTTTCCTTTTACTTACCCTCAATAAGTCACTGCACAAATATTCCAAGATCCAAACATAAAAGGAAAACAGTTGTTGGCCATGAGTGACTAACAACAGTTCACATAGAAGGTTGCATGTATATTGTACTCCAAATCTGCATCAAGTGGCATACACCCATACAACTCTGAGCAGAATCTCTGTATGTCGAATTATGTAGTATCATGATAAAAAAATTTATTGTCAATTTCTTCAGAATGATTCCTTGTTTTATTTTTTTTCTAAAAAGAATGGAGAAACATTGTCCGGTTTACTTTTGTATGTGCACATTTTGTAGACGATGTTGCCAGCTCCTGGTGAAGCTGGAAGCAGTCGTCCATCCTTTGATGCAAACGTCGAGATCACGAGTGGTGGATTAGCATTGCAATCTTCTCATTTGGTCCCCGCGGGTTGTCAAATTGAGGTATGATCCTAAATAATTGATTCTATATCTTTTTGGTAGTTTTCGTGCAAAGGATTGCTTAGACTGCTACTACATTTCGTTTCAGCCACAGCAAACCATTGCAAGACCAGTTCCAGATCCCTTGAGCTTGCAGCAGCGTAATCTACCAACTATAAATCAGAAGGGAGGTCAGCTAAAACACTGATTTCTTGCTAATAATTAAATATTTTGAATTATTACCTACTCTAAATTTACCACATTGCCTGGTTTTAGGTTCACCTTTTATGAGAATCAACAAGAGGGGAAGATTCGAAGTGCTTAGGCGTCCTAATCAAGTTCGGTCCTTGACAGTCTCTGAACCTCTGAAAACAAACACGGTATGACTTTATTGGTCCTTACTGTTCATGCAAAGAAAAAAGTTACTTCTCATTTTGTTTTCGCTTGATTAATGCAGATCATGAGGTTGATCTACACGAATTCTGGTAATGGGCCTTCTAGCATTAGACTCAAAGCACACTAATCTACTCTGGAAGTGGAGAAAAGATGAAATAGACATCAAGGTAAAGGCTTCACATCTTTGATATGAAATTATTCATCTTTTGGCCAATAAAATTGGAAAAAACAAAAAAAAACGAAACTGTCACATGGTGCAGGCAACAACCATGTATCCCCCTCAACTATGGGAGCCGGAAGCAAGAAAAAAAATGAAAAATGACTTGCCTGACATTGAACCCAAAGACCCCATCAACTGTTTTGCCTTGTCCAACAACGATAATTTTCTCATGTCAGCAACTGGAGGGGCAGTTACCTTGTTCAACACAAAAGACTCTAAGGTATTTAACAAAACTAACTAAACTGATGCTTGAGAGTGGCTTAATTAACCGTCCTCTGTTTTACTGAGGGTATAAAGAAAAATGTAACAAAAACATATTGAATTTTGTTTTTGGCATCAAAATCATATTGATAGTTTTAATGTTGTTTGGCTTGGACTGACCATTCCCAAATGTTGGATTTCACACAGAAACTGGCAGATTTCATGCGCCCGCCACCTGCAGCAACATGCCTACTATTCCACTCTGTAGACAACAATGTCATTATTGCTGGCATGGAAGATGCAACAATTCAGATATACTACATTCGATTGGATGAGGTATGATATCATGTGTATATGCATGAAATTATATTGTTGGAGAGAAAATCTAGCATGCTGGTTCGGAAATGAATTTTTTTTAAAAAATAATATATATATATATTTGTAGGTTAAATTCAAGATTGTGGGTCACTCTAGAAGAATCACTGGCCTAGCCTTTTCCACTAAGCTGAATGTACTTGTTTCTTCTGCAGCAGATGCTGAGGTATAAGGCTTTTTTTCCCCCTCTTCTGTAGACGCATATATAAGCTATTAATTGTTGTGATGGTAAGCCCCTATTTTGGATGTTGTGGATTCTGATTTTGTATACATTTAAAAAAAAAAATATTGCTAAATTCAGATTATTGTCTGGAAGTACATTGATGATGAAAAGTGGATACAAAAGAAGAAGATCAATATCTTGCAGTTTGAAAGAGGACGAAGAGGGGCACCCAAATCACGACTGTTAGACACCCGGGTTCAGTTTCACCAAGATCAGAATCACTTCCTTGCCGTGAATGAAAGGAGAGTCGCCATATTTAATACAACAGAGCCAGAAAGTAAAAAGCAGGTATTCTTCATTTGGAGTACCAGTAATTCTGGTTGTAATTTAATCTGTTTTCTAGGAAGGTAGAGTTTCTGAGGTTATCTAATGCTTTTGTTTTTGGATTTCAGAATTGCCAGCAGCTCCAAGAATTCTTTTCAAATATTAATCATGCAACGTTTTCATGTGATGGCCAGTTGGTGTACATTGCCTTGGAGGATGGAACTGTTATCGTGCTTTCTGCTTCAAATCTTGAACGACTATGTTTGATTAGTCGCTATGCTTATCTTCCATCCAATGTCAGGTATTTGAATTTTTTATGTATCATTGCCAAACTCTGTTAAGATGTGTGCCTTCGTATAGCTACTCTGTTGAAATAGCATTGTTCACCTTGAGATGTGACAAAAGTTTTTCATGTTCCCCCATGTGTTTTCTGGAAAATGAAAATAGAAAATAGAAAACAAAAACAGAAAACAAAAACACAATCAGACAGGCCCATAATGTCTCTTTTATATGACATTCTGAAGAAGCTTGCTTTTGCATATCATTATATAAAATTTCTATGAGATGATGTAATTTCGGAATTCATGACTCCAGAAATTCCAGAATGATTTGCCAACCAGCGTGATAAAATCCTCTTCTTCTCTATAACATTCTTCCCAATGTTTCATGATCATGTCCTAGATAATCATGTAATACCCAAATTGTCTGAAATGATACTAATTTTGGGGTTAATTTTTTTTAAAAACTTTTTGGAATTGGCTTTCATTCATTCATTGTGCTTGAAGTTACCTATGAGTTTAAGCAAGCATGCTGCATATAGATATTGTATCCATTAGCAGTACTCAAGTCAAATTATCATATGCTTTGCTTACGTGATTGTTAAATTACGACCCTTACTCTTTCTTCTTCTTCTTCTTCTATCTGCAGTTCTGATAAATGCCCACTTGCAATTGCTGCACATCCACAAGAACGCAGCCAGTTTGCATTAGGATATACAGATGGAAGTGTTATTGTAATTGAGATACCCGAATCTATAGCTCAACAAAAGATTGTGCTCCCACCTGTTGAGAATGAGTCAACAAGAAGCAAAACTCCAACTGCACAACAAATTGTTGGTTCTGGTTCAGACAAACGTCCATCAGCCTGATTGAGGCTTTGTTTGGTTACTAAACTTAGATTTAGTGTCATTTTAATACACAATGTATAGTTTACTCTCCAAATCACATCAAGTGGCATAGACCAAAGCAATTTTTAGCAGAATCTGCTTATGTCAAATTCTGTTGTATGTTATACAATAGTATCATGATCAAATGGGCTGAAAATTTCTTTAGAATGCCTCCTCCTTTTTATTTTTTCTAAAAAAAATTGGAGAAAAACTAAGGAATTTGCTGCTAGCATGGTGGATCTTACTATATTGCATTTTTACGGTTTCGTGTTTGGATTTTGGATTTTGTGGACGGAAGAGAAAAGCAAAGAGAAATGATAACTTCTTTTTATCTTCATTTATCTTTTTCTTACCTTCTTAAAAAAAAAATGTTGTTTGTGATGAAGAGCATTATTTTGTTATCTCAAAGATTATTTTTTATGATTGATTATATATCTGTACAGTTATTTGTCTACTGGTGGAAAAAAACCATAGCAATCCGTCTTTTGAATTACCAGAGGAGCCTCTACTTGTTGAGGAGCCAAACTTAGATGGGCCCAACAAAACATGGAAGAATCACATTCACTCTCTCAATCTCAAGACGGACTTGAGCCATAACTTAATGTCTGTTTCAGTTTCTTTAAAAAAAATTCTCACTGAATCAATGAGTTTTATCATTGAATATAAAATGAACCCACAAGCTTTGTTATTTGCAGAGCTTAATCAATGAAGGGATTTGAACCATAACATGAATATAAACATTCAAATTCTTCTTCTGGTGGAAAATAAATAAATAAATAAAATAAAAACTTTTTAAGAATGTTGTATACAGTAGTAGTTTATTAATTATGTGGGCTAGCCCCGGCAACTAATACTTAACCACCATGTCAGATCTAGGTGGCCCTGTATCAAGATGGGCCTGGCCCAGCAGAAGTATGCACTCCTGGGCCTTATGCAAAGCAACTTCGGCCCAACTTTTAGAGGGATTGCGGAGTTTTGACTTGAAATCTTCTTTGGAAATAACTTGAAAGTGGAGATGACAATTTCTCCCGCTCTACTCCACCCTGATTCTCCCGACCTTGCTGAGGAAGCAAGGCGTGGATGAGTTATTATGGGTGTTGCTTCCCTTGCCTTATTCTACTCCGTGTCTCCTGATTATATTTATTAAATATATTTATATGTATATAATATATATAATTTTTTTTAAATATAATAATATTAAAATATTAAAAATTACCCTTAATATTCATTACACTTAGGCTTTGTTTGAGATAAATTAAAAAAAGTCAAAAAGTTAAAAAGTTTATACTATTTAAGGGTAGCTTGTGAGAGAAGCCACTATTGAATTCAACTACCAATAAAGTCAAAAGGATAAAATTATCATTTTAATTTTATTACACATCTTTTTATAAAAAGTCAAAAAATTATCCCAAACATAAATCACTGTGTTTGGTTTGAGTTTTCTGAATTAAGTTTTTTGAAAATTGACTTTTTTGGTTTTTGTGTTTTTTTGTTTTTAGTGAATATTTTTGAAATTTTAAACATTTTTTTTTACTTTTTTAGATGTACCTTACTTAGATGTATCTAAAAAGTAAAAAATTTGTGAAAAATATTTTAAAAAATTAATAAATACATAAAAATACAAAAAATGTACTGAATTCTTGTATTTTTTTGTATTTTTGGTATTTAGTGATTTTTTAAAAGATTTTTTTTACAATTTTTTTACTTTTTAGGTGTATTTATGTTAGGTGTGTCTAAAAAGTAAAAAAATTGCTTAAAATATTAAAAAAAATCAGTAAAAACAAAAAAAACGGAAAATAAGAAAGTAGAATTTTCTGAAAAGTGTTTTGGAAAACTGGAAACCAAGCTAGGTGAATATTTTTTTCTCTACTTTTTTAATTAAAAAGTCAAAAAATATACTTATATAACACATTCTAAACAAGTACTTATTTATTTCTCATCTTACATCTATATTAGCTTAAGGGGTCCATATAACTGTGTTGCCTGCCGTATTTTGCTTATTCTAAACAGATAGCTATTGGAAAGACGACTCTATTTTCCTCTATATAACAAGGAAAAAAAAATCCAAATCCCCTTTGGGGGTCACCCCCACAACCCCCACAGGCCTCTCATTGGCCAAATTTTTTTTTTTGATCCAATCACCAACCCTCATATGCCTGTAAAAGTGATGAGATTAGTGATTGAAGGGGTCTCATTCATGGCCCATATAATAATTAAGTATTGGATGTTACAATAGAATATTACTTTTTCCTAGAATCTAAGCCTTTGTTTTGAACTTAAAAAAGTGCATAATGACTATTGGTACAACCATTCCAATTTCCCATCTCATTGCTCCATGTCCTTCCTTTTTCTTTTTTAGTTTTATTTTTTTTAAACTAGTGGTAATTCGTGTTATGTATAGAATTTTATAATTTTTTTTAAAAATTCATTATAATTATCTTGAAATAATTTAATATTTTATATTACGGTATACATGAAATTTATAAGTTAACTTTTATGTTTATAACTTTTTAAATTATTAGTTTAAAAAAATTAAAATATATATAGATATATAAATATATTTAGTGTAATTTTGATAATTTGTATTAAAAAAAAGTTAAACCTAATTAAATGAGATTAACTGAGTTATGACATACCTCTTCTTGTTATGAAAATATACAAATTTAAAAGTTATAATTAAAACCAATATTTAATTTTATTATTAAATATGAAGTGAAGTGATATTTAACAATAATTAATATGATGTTTCTATTATGGGAGTTTTTTTGATAAATCCATTTTCTAAGAGCTTTATTCCATCCAACCCATATTCTTTTTGACTATTCCATTAGGTCCAATTTGAGATAAGAAGACCAAAATACCCTTTTCATCTACTTATGTTCCATTTAGTTCACATTATTTTCTTATATTTCAATAAGTCCTATGAGTGACATAATTACCAAAATACCCCTA